TTCTACTATTTTACATGATTTGCGTGCCAAAATGTTTTTCTATGATATTACGTATATACATATATCTATGTACGCTGTCATACATAAATACATGTACATTTATGTGTTGTTATATCTGCTTTATTTATTTATTAATTAATTATTATCATTATTATTATTATTACTTTTACACAAATCATATCACTTATATGATTTATCGTATCGTGTATTTATATATTTATAACGAACACCCTTCTCCCAAGATGCTTTTTTGCTACTAAAATTACAAACGAGAGTTCCGCCTGCGCGCAATTACAGCAGACTTAAACTTTTTCCTTTTAAATAAAGGTGACATCGTCAAATTGTATTGAGGATACACGCTTACGTGATTCTCAATCACACGTGTAATAATTGTTCATGCCGCACATTTCACCTCCTACCACTTTTTGCAGTTTTTTTCCGGCGTATAATCCATTTAAAATTTTTGTCGACACATTTATGATGTATTTTCTTATCTTGATTATGGTACAAATCTGAAATAAAACGGAAATTATTACTATTAATTAAAATGACTCGCTTGATCGTAGATTAAGTAAATGGAAAGAAGAGACAATTTTTAAATTAGTTAGGTACTAATTAATAGTACTAAAGATTTGATTTATTATAATTATTTAAGAACCTACAGAAAATATAGTGCTTTCATATAACTTTTTATGCTCCATACGTTTATAATAAAAAATTAAATTACATTTCACTATGAAATGTACTCAATATAAGTAATAAGATTCATTGTTTTTAATGAGTATTATACCTAGTTTTATACTTACCATTGGTTTTTATTTTTAATGATAATAGATAAAAACCAAAAGAACGAAATGTCTTGACAAATAAAAGTTTAATTTCATTTTGGCAAGCTACAAATGAATTAAAGGGTACAAAATGATGAAATCTTGTTGCCCTTAAATATACAATATATCAGGACGGATAAAGAGAAAAAGAAATAAAAGGAATTTTATCTAATAAAAATTAACTCATTGATAAATCTGCTTGTAAATGTCGAGTACGATAGAACATTTACATGCATTATTCATGAATAGACAACATAATTAAACAATTTTTAAAAGAATCAGACTCGAATATCAATATGGACTTACATGAACAAGCTCTCAGGTCTATAAAATCTAAATTATTTAATTCGTTCATCTCGCATAAAACCAATTACATTATACAACAAATTCTTGATTCATGGTGAGCATTTCTCATTAAACTTATTTCTGTACTAAATACCCTACAGCATATAATATTAATAATAATAATAATAATAATAATAATAATAATAATAATAATAATATGTAAAAGCAAGGTTCACTTCCATAGAAAATCTGCAATACATTTATAAACGTAATATACTCTGATTACTTAAACCTTGCGATCTCTGATTGGCATTGCTAATATAAAATGTATTCTTTCGTTTCTTATTTATTTCTCATTATTTATCTAGAATCGTCTTCTTTATAAGTTGAGAATTCGAAATCCCAAAGTAGGATATAAATGCGCAACTATATGCCATTGTTTGCCTATACCGCTATTTGTTATAAAAATACATATCAACAACATACAGAGAAATACAGTACGATATTTATCGCGAACTTCCAAGTTCCAGCCTTTTAAAACTGACATTTCGGCTCATTTCTCAGTGATTTCTTCCAATTCATTTACGGGAGCCTAATTTTAACTACTGCAAAAATAGATACCAATTTAATGTGTACAACACATACGGATTTGGTTAATCACTTGCAGCAGTTGCCAGTGGCTGGTTTTTGTCCTTCTGATTCGACTAGTCGGCGCCCTTGTCCGCTTGTACTCGCGTTTCCTGCTTGTTCGTTCTTTGGAAGTTTTTTAGCTGTAATACAGAAGAATATATTTTATCAGTAAAACGTTATTGTTTATCTTTAGTTAATATTTGTGCCATTACGCTGATTATATAAAGACTAACTTACTATAATTGATCTTTTTTATTTTTACAATACATTAGATAAAAATATCGTCAATAAATTAATTGCGCTTATAAATGTATTATTTTTTCAAGATTTTCAAGATTTTTTTCATTTTTTCCCCCCCCCCCCCCCCCCCATATATATATATATATATATTTAACACCTCATATATTAAAATTTCAAAAACACAAATTCTCAGTCTTTTATATTTACTTTATATCTTTTGGGTAACAAAAAAATTAAAATTCTAAAAAGTCACAATATTAATATGTATACTTTTCAAATATCTGTGGATAATAAGACTGCAAAATTTTAAAGAAATTATATTTTTTATCAATAAATTTTGAAAAATTTTATGTTCTTATTAGAATTAAGTGGCAATTTATTTCAAATGGTATATTAAGACAACTTATAACTTAATTTTAAGTCTTTTTAAAAATAAGTTTTTTTAATATTTTGTTACACACCTGTGAATATTAATAGTTATACTTTTATTTTATAAAAATTTGTAAATTTTCTTAAAACAATGTTAAGTTAATAGCATAACTTTTAAAAAGATAATCTTGTTTAACAATTTCATACTCCTGGTTAAAAATCCATTATACTAGTAATATTTATTTAACTTCGATAAAATACGAATTATCTTTCAACTTTTAATAGTTAATCCTTATTTAGTTATAAATTATATTTTTTCCTAAATTTATATTAAAAAAAGAAAAGAAAAGAAGTAAGTATTATATTATTGAATTAAAGTATATAAAACAAAATGATTTATTCAATTTTATTAATCTCTGAGAAGCGGTTAGTATATGATAAGTTGTTAAATTTAACATTAGAAATCAATATTAATAAAAGACTTTAGAGGTATGAAGAATAAATTTAACCACCAATTGAAATTTAATAAGTTGATAGTGATAGCTATTAGTCAATAAATCAATGATTAATCATTACCAATAGCTAGGAATATATCATTGACATTCATCGCTGTCTTGGCTGATGTTTCCATGAAAAGAAGGCCATTCTCTTCTGCATAGGCCTGGGCTTCTTCAAATTCTACTACTCGCTTATTTCCAAGGTCTGCCTTATTTCCTGCTAATGCTATTACTATACTCGGACTCGCTTGCCGTTGTAGTTCTTTTACCCACGTTGTTGCACGCATAAATGTGTCCTGCAGCATTTTCAATGGTTATAAATAAAATTCAAGCTCTTTTATATTTTATTCATAATTACTTTCTAATGTATGTAGAAAATTGTATGTGTTTTAAAATGAAAAATAACCTATAATTAATCCTATATTAAGATGTCATAATTCAGTGTTATTTTATTATTTTGTGCTACATAATATATACAATTTTTATTTTATAAAATGTAATACAAATATAAATTTAAATATTATATCCAAAATGCCATCACTTTTATTGTGATTTTATATTCATATTTAAATGGAATTGAACGATAGATTTTATTTGCTTTGAATTTTTATTTATTTCTTGTTATTATACGTCAATATTATTAATAAATATTTAATTTACAGTGATTAATTATATAATTATCAGTTTACCTGATTTGTTATATCATACACCACAATAGCTGCCTGTGCTCCACGATAGTACATGGGCGCAAGACTATGGTAACGTTCCTGCCCTGCAGTGTCCCAAATTTCGAATTTTACAGTCGTTTCGTCCAGACATACAGTTTGCGTTAAAAATGCAGCTAAACAATGAACAATTTTGATTATTTATTTATAGTTTGTAGTAAGAGAAATTACTTTACAATGAAGTATAACATCATGCAAATAGTACATAATTTGGAGATGAATAATATTTTGTCATATTTATAGTATTAATCTTATTTTTAGAATTCATTGAAAGTATAATTTCAATTTGCAATAAATAATGTAATTATGAGTGGATATGTATTTTTTGTTATAGATTATAGATTAAATTTGAAAAAAATTTGATCTTACCTCCAATCGTACTTTCTTGGTACTCATGGAATTGACCCTTAACAAACCTAAGCACAAGACTTGATTTTCCAACAGCGGATTCACCAAGTAAGACCAACTTAAACTGACATATTTTGCCCTGGGTACCATTTGGTCTTTGGGCTGTACCTCGGTTAGCCATGGTGACCTAAAATAACAATTTTTCAATTTAAATAATCGCAATTAAAATAGCAATCGCATCTCATATTTTTTTCTATATCAATTTCTTTCAATAAAACTTGATACAATGAAAACGTATGTATCATTCAACGCACGGATTTAACTATAAGTCCATCCAACATGATAACAGTCTATTTATGCTGAAACAGTGGTTCAGATAAGATACTTATTTGTGCAAAAATAAAAAGACAATTTTAATAAGAAATCATTTATGTGGTAAAACATTCTGTTTCAATTTACTAAAATGAACATAAAATCCATGAAATAATGAATACAAAGAGCACAATAAGTTTATTAAAATATTTTTCCTATTCTGCTTTATAAATTTTATGCTCTTTTCAACATTTATGTAAGATTTACAATGCTTATAAGCAATGAAGCTAATAGCAAATTGTGTGCACGTGTGAGCGTTTTTCTTTTCATAAATATATATTCCATTAATTAATAGTTTCATTTATAATTCATAAATAATGACAGTAAACTAGAGAAAAAAAAAATTAATTTAACATTCATTAACAAAGAAAATATAGCCAATTCCTTAATTTCATTATCACAAATCACATCTCACATTCGCAAAACCTAAATTTCTTTTTTAAAGAGAGAGCCAAGCGTACATTAGTGGCTTATTATTCATGTAAATTATATCACCAGTCTGGCGTCGAAAACAACAATAAAAAATAAAAAAATAAAAAAAAGAAAATAGAAAAAAGAATAAGAAGTAGAATGGCCGTTAATTAATATTAAATAAGAGCTTCACAGAAAGGTCGCCAGAACATTAGATTAAAAAAATATTTTTATTATTTCCGAGATTAGCATTTACGCATACGCTAATTTGATTATAAACAGTTTCTTCGATTAATGCAGCTAACAGCCTATAAATTCTAAACACGCAACACACAATCAATTCTCACATCGATCATTCACTAGAGATTTGCAAGTTACGCAGTCCGAGTAAGAAATTGTGAATAATGAGCTACACCAGTATGCGTCGTCGCGTCCCTGTAGTTTGTACGTAAAGTAACACGGCAGAGGTTAGAAATCTTCTTATTACGTAGACTTAACTTTTCGCAAAGCTTTATTATTATGTCCAATGAGCACCACGTCTGCACTAAATATATTTTTACGTAAGCGCAATTAGAATAGCTGCACGATAAAATTTAAAGCTTCGACGATGGATGGTTATGCATTAGTCGGAGCATTACGCGACGTTCTTCTCTACATTCGACTCTCTCGTGTCGTCACAACTATACAAGACTACAGCACGAACTCTAAACTTGTCAACGCCCCCATATGCTAACCGACGTCGGCTCAGTGATTTTTCTGAGAGAAATGGGCTTGGGGAATCAAAATGAAAATACACGAACGGAAACGATAAAGAGCTAAGCTCACGCGTGTCTAAGGAAGACTGTCCTCCCGGACGTACACTGTTTACCGTATTACCCCTTCTTCCTCAACGTCCTGTCCCGTCGCGGAAACTCCACTTTCCACTCGCTCTCTCTCTCTCTCTCTCTCTCTCTCTCTCTCATCCCATTCCTCCTTGTTCCGTATTTAAGAGACGTACCGCAGGTGAATATATACAACAGTAATTTTTCGTCCATTTTTCCATGTAAACACGTAGAATAGTAAGCATTAGTACTCGAAATTGATCGAATGATTTTACTTTTGATATACCTAAGGTATAAACAATAATGCCAATCTCCATCGACATTTTTAATATGTACTACTATAAACTGTATAGTAAATGAATGAAATAATGACAAAATATTGGAATCTATTATTGAATTAAATAAAGGCCGAGAATAAATCATTGCTGATAATTTTAAGCAATTAAGTTTATTTTATATTTGATTGTATGACGACTTTATTATATAAATGATGAAATTTTTTTCGATTATATTTTTCATTGAAATAGTGATTATCATTTCACTTATAATTAAATAAGTATTGTATTCATGACTAATTAAATTAGTTTAATACTAATGTCGATCATTGATAAACTTGGAGAATATTATACGCACATTAGTTAGCTCTGGCAACTAACCGATCATGGAAAAGTTTTACGATATTCAATTATTGTAAGCTTATTATCCACTGTAAAAAAACTGCATTAAAATTTTATTATTTATTTATTAAAATACAAATTATGCACGTTTTTGTGTGATTTTATTATGAACTTATATTACTAGATGATTTCAGATGTATTTAGAATTATATTTTCTCTATTCGCTAGTTTCTACTTATTTTCAATACAACTCTAGTATACTATTAATTAATTAAACTCATTTATTGACTGTATATTATATTGTTGTTGTTGTTTTTTTTTTGCTTTGTTTTGTTAATAGTAATATTTATGTTCAAAATGTATATTAATTTTTATGATTCAAACGTTCCAACTCTACCAAAAATTATTCCCCCCTTCTCTTTTTTTTTTTCATCGAAAGCATATATTATTTTTTCGCTGTTATTAGAATTAAAAAAAATGTTATACATCAAATTATATAAGAATTGATAAAACTAATATGTTACAACGATACAAACTACAAACTAATATTGTTCCTCTTATCTTACTTGAGTATATCTTTTATATATATTTTTTTTTTTTTAATTTTTGTGTCACCTTCCATTTACCGGTACCTCATTGCCCCATATTTCTTTTCATCTGGATTTTTCACTTTTCTTTAATAGTTGATAAGATGTAATATTGATTTATTCAACAATGAATAAGAATATACCAACATAATAAGAAATTTTTTTTTATTATAATGTCTGAAGTGGTTTGTTTATACAGACAGAAACGCTTATCGAGGGTCATGACAGGATTTGAGTGTCAGTTCCACTTATCATAAATATAAGGGGAGGGAATCACGCGGATTAATAATCATCTAAGCCGTAGCTCTCTCTATTGGCAAAAGCTAACGGGCGTACTCGGACTTGGTTTCGGGAAATGGACAAGTTTAAATTTTGCATCACGGGGTACTCGAATACTCAACATCAAGACGATCATTAACAGACTTTTTATTTTTTTTTAAACACGAATTATAAAAGAAAAATTGGGTGACGAGGGAATATAATGAAATATATATATATATATATATATATATATATATATATATAGCCCCCATAGAATTGATTTAATACATTTGCCTTGGAAATTATTCAATTCGAATATTATTTTATTTCAGTACAGATAATAGAGCAAAGAGCTGAAATAGAGGTGACACGGTGAGAATTGAAAAACTTTGTATAAAAATATAACGTCGATTCCTGAGAAAATTTCAGACTTGTTTAAAAATTTTAATTGAATTTGTCACAGTTTAGTCTTTGTATGACATCATTTTTAACCAATAAGTGCCCTTATTGTATTTAATATCACTTTTATTATTGGCCAAAACAAATTTCATTTAAAATGTCATGTATATTCGGGTCTCGGACTTAGCCAATCTGTTTGTGTTTGTATTTGCGTGTGTGTACGCGCGCGCTAGTGTGTGTATGTGCCTCCCCCCTCTCCCTCTCTTCGAGCTTTTGATATGACATTTCACTTCACCTCCATCTCTCTCGATGTCAGCTCGTTACTTCACGTAATCACAGATCGACACGATCCATTTAATTCGTGAGACGCGCACTGACGCATACATATAATGTTCGAGTTCAGGAGTGCACGAAGGTGTTTGACGCTGATTTCTTGTATGGAACGCAGTACATGGATGTCATTAATAATTGACGAGAAGAGTGAAAACATACATTATGCAATAAAAAAGAAAAGTGCATTGAACAATGTCGATAATTGTGGGTTTTACTGTACGAGACTGTGCCAATCGAAAGCTTATATTTTATTTCTACAAGCCAATGAATCAGATGATTTTCAATTTTATTTAGCACTAATTTAATCAACGATGCATCCGGGTAACAAGTAATTAAATAATTAACAGCGATTTACGTCTTTGTTTGCGTGAAATAGTTCAAATAAGTTATAAAGTGCTCCCTTAATTTAACGGTGCTGAGCCTCCATTGAAAAAAATGATACGCTAATTATTTTATATTAAATAAAAGGAAATATATATATATTTTTTGTTGAAAACTATGACAATTGACTGGACATTTCTTTAAAGTTGTAATAAAAAGATGTTGAGTAGCAGCACACTATAATTTTTGCATAACTATATATAAAGTTTAGCACAGCTTTATTCATTATTTTATAATTTCCTGGTTTTCAGATGTACTCGTGTGTAACTATTTTAATAAACAGTGGCCTCCACATTTTTTAATAAAATGCTCCTTTTCTTATTATCTCTACGAATGAGTCATACATATTCGTTTTTGTGTATTCATGACATTTAAATATTGTTTTTATATAGTAAATACTTGAACAGTATGAAGCTACGTATACGTGATACATATGCACTACAAGATTTTAAGATAATTTTTTTTGTAAACAAAATCGAGCATCTTTATAGGCAGAGATTGAGATTGAAATTGAGATTGAGATTGAGATTGAGATTGAGATTGAGATTGAGATTGAGAGAGAGAGAGAGAGAGAGAGAGATATAGATGTAGGAGGCTATGATTATTTCTTCGTTTCGTCTGTTAATTCTAATTTTAAGGCTGTAGAGGTTTAAGATAACTTTAATTGTACGAAAGTAGTTGGCTTATGAGGCGAAAGGTAAACATTTGGAAATAGTGGACATTCCGAAACAATGTGATCATAGCGTAAAGAGAGATGACGAAGGGTCAATTTGCAAGTAATTACACAAAAAGGCGAAAAGTTTCGAAGCAGACATGGAGTCACTGGCGAATCATGTAGATGGAAAACAACAAAGTGGTTTGATCCACTACATTATTCGTTCGATGAAAGCTGCCCAAATCGAGTCATCGGCTTTATTTAGTTATGCCAGCGCTTACATTCCGGTCATTCTCGAGACGTTTGAAAAACTGGCGAGAGTGAAGGAGGGAGGCGGGGGGAGGAGGGTGGTCCCAATGTCAGATCTCAAATTCGACGAGGTCCGTCACTTGGGTTTGCGTTGCGAATTCTGGGAGGTCAAAAGCAGAGCAAGGGCGTTCGTCCCTTGGATATCATAATTGAACTACTTCCTCGGCGGGCAGAGGCTCGGTGCAAATTGATCAACGCGTTCGTCGAGTCCCTGGGTGTCGGCGCTCACAGCCTCGGCGCCACAATGCAAAAGAGAGAAAGACGAATCGCGCTCCCCCCCCCCCCCCCCCGATCACTCAATCACGTTATATCGCACACAAAGCGAGCAAGAGAACGAGCGACACGGTCACGCGGAACGTGACTCGAAGATGATGACGTTTTCTCAAAGGCCAACGCACTATAGAAGGTACTCCGCGCTCCAGCGGCCGAGAGTCCAGTGTCCGTCCGTTCCTTTGAGTTTGCGCCGTGAACGCGGGGAACAGGTGAGTCGCGCAGGAGGCGGCGATGACAGCGGGCCAAGGCACCAGTGTACCAACGGTAGAAGCGCGCGAATTCAACGTTCCGTTGGTGCACGACAAGCCGATCGCTTAACCTAAAGGATAAAACGTACCGATACTAGACGCACACGATGACGAAGGTGGCGGCGGCAGCCCGTCTTTGACACCTCGCGGGGAACGCGACGACGACTGACCGACCGCACTGCTGAACACTCATCATCCCACACGTACGGGCTCGCGCGCAGTTCTATTCCTACCTCGGGCTAGTGTGAGTGTGTGACACAGAAGGGGGAGTGAGAGCGCCCGCTATCGCAAGAGCGAGAGAGACGAGTTACGCAAAAGAAACAGTAGTCGGTAGTACTCTTCGCGCAACAGCTAATGCTGCTGCGCCACTTTCTCGCTCGCTTTCTCTCTTTCCGTTTTTATTTCTCCTTAATAATTGCACACGGTGTTTAGCTGCTCCATAAAGAAAGAACGAAAGAGGAACAAAGCTAACAAATGCGCCTACCAATGAGTCCATGTTAAGCCGTCGAGGCTAGAGGTATAATTGCATGAGAAAAAAGTGCACCCTTGGAGGCCGAACGATGGAGACGTATTGTATGGGTGTCGTAGCACACATGGACAAGGATACATGCATATACACGCGCGCGCGCGGGCAACTACACTAAACAGAAACGTACGTCCGGAAGTCCGAGATGCGAATGATAGAGAGAAAGCAGAGAGCACTGAGAGCATAGAGAGAGAGAGATAGAGAGAGAGAGAGAGAGAGAGAGCGAGAGAGAAAGGGATAAGGAGAGAGCAGAGTATTGTTAATTAAAATGAATAAATTTCTCCTATTTGTATGTTCCTCGTTTACCCTCGAGAGTTCAGTTATTCGTTCTCGATATCACACGACTGTAGGTAGTAAAGAAAAGAGGTGGAGGTGGTGGTGGTGGTGGTGGTGGTGGTGGTGATGGTGGGTGGCGGTAGCAGTAGTTGTAACAATCAAGATAATAATGAAGTATAATAATAATAATCAAGAGCCCTTCTGTTTCCTTGTGCCCTTTTACGTGTGTAAGCCCTGGCTTCGAACATCCGTGTTTCGTGCCTTGTTCCTCTGACTCTTGCTCTCTCCTCTATAGCTCTTTTTATTTCTCTCTTATTTTCCCCCCCCTCTCTCTCTCTCTCTCTCTCTCTCTCTTTCTCTCCTCCTTCTCTTCCTCGTTGGGATTTAGCTGTTCCTCCTCCGTTGCACGTTTCACGTTGACTCTCCCGCGCCTTGTCGTTGTCTTCTTGGCAAAATGTTTAATACTTCTTGATGGCATCCGAACGATATCGTACGGGCGCACACAAGCACACCCACTCACGCTCCCTCCTCACGTACTCACGCACGCACGCACGCACACAAACAAACAGCAAACAAACCGACACACATGCACACACCCACACCATAGGTCGATCGTAGCGAGTTCAACGCGATAAACGGCCGATCTTCTCTGTCGTCCGCAGCCGTCGATCGCGCATGTACAGATGGGGTTGCATGTTCACTGCTGAATCGTCGTCCTCGTCGTTGTCACGGCTCTCTTCTTCGTCTAGCTGGCCATCCTTTTTCTCTAATTCGCGCGCGCGCGCGCGCCCCCGCGCCCGCGCACTGATTATCTTTATATATATATACATGCATATTATTCGCAGATGCGCATATGTACATCTATCTATCCAACAATGTAATATGCATACATGCATGTATGAATGTATATCTACCTATCTATCTATCTATGGAGAGAGAGAGAGAGAGAGAGAGAGAGAGAGAGAGAGGCGCGCTTACTTGTCTTGTGCATGCAATGCACGATACACGTATTACATGAAAAAAACACGTTTGGTTTGCTGCTGCTACTGCATATTCGCACGCACGCGCGCACACACACCTAACACCTTAAAAATATATACTGCACAGTGTTATGTATATATATATATACACATGTTTGTGGGTGTGTGATGCGAGCGAGTATACGTGTGCCGAGGAGGAGTCAAGGCTGTCAAAAGACGACCGAATGCGGAGGATATATATATATATATATATCCATACACACACACGCGAACAAGCGCGCATGCACGCGCGCGCGCATATGCATATATATACACAATGTACCTCTAACGTGTACGCTTATACGAGATGCCTCGGGACGTCGGTGTACGACTGAGTGTATGTTGGGTATGCTCGTGTGCGTATGCGTACGTACGCATGCATGCGCGCGTGTGTTGGCTAAAGAACAATTTCTCCTCGACCGTTCTGCTGTGCTCGATCCTGTATGCGACGTTTCTGGCTTCCTTCCCCTGTTCTCCTCACCACCGTCGTCACCAAATTCGCAGCAACGTCAATCTCAGCCGAGAAATTAATGCACACACTAGCAGGTTAATTAACGATCGAGAACACTACGCGCTTGTGCATATCGTGTGCACCCAAGACCGGCGCTAAGACGTAGGGATACGATACTCGGGAGCTTAGAGAAAGACCAAGAAAGACGAACCGTTCGATGGACGCACGCGAGCAGATCTGAGAGCAGCAGCGAGCAGCCCAAGTCGTTGCTTCGACGGCGCGCAGATCTCCCAGTCCTTCGGCGAAGGCTCGATGTATACACGGACGTACAGAGTGAGCGATGATGGGCACTACTGCGTTCACCGTCTTGCTTCTTCTAATCGCTATACGCCCATTTTCCTCTCGCTCGTTCTCGCCTCTGCTGCGTTCTTTTCCATGCGCGGTTCCTCCGTTCCGCATTATTTACGACGTCGTTCCTTAGTCTTGTTGGCTCTCCAGAGCCGTTTCTTTGTTTTCTGCGCGGGCGGCTCGGATTCTTTCTCAGGATGTGTTGTATCAATCACGAGCGCGTCGTTACTCCGATATTTCAAATAAGTCGTGCGAATTTGAACAAAGAAGCTGCCACAAGCCAACGCAAAATATACGCTTGCGGGGCGAGTGTTGGTGGAGCTTTTTATGGGGCAAGGAGAGGAGAAGGAGAGATAATGATGACCGACAGAGAGCTCAATGGAGAGTCTATTAGACGACTAGACAAACGGCAAGCTTGAGCCCTGATATTTTGTATGGTTTCGTGAGATTATTTGTATTTCTTCCTCCCATCATTTCTTTATTTATCGATTCTCAGAGTTACGCCTTTTCTTTCTTTCTTTCATTCTTTTTTGAGGCGAATAATTATAATATACTTCTGCTTATAATTGTATGGTAATTATGTAAACCGTCGATTATTTAATTGTGTAATTATATAAGCCGAAGGATACCGTTGAGACGAGCATTTAGTAAAATTAAGTTTGAATTTTCTTCCGAATGGAAGTTAAACGACTTTACTTTCGTTCTCTGACCTTAATTGAGTATAAAGAAAGCATTAGAGTATTATTATATATTGCTAGAGTGCCGAAAGAAATTTAGGAAAGAAAATGGAGAAATTGTCGATGAATAAAATGAAATAGTTCCAAGATTTTATATAACTCTGTAACGTCGAATATCGAAGAACAAACGATACTATTCTATTTCAATTGCTACTCGATTAATAATTTATGTTCATTGATTATGAACTTACGAACATTGTGCCGTTTGTAATTTTGTTCGCTCAGAGTTAACTTTTTCAATTCAAATTTCTTATCTTTTTTCTTATTTTTTTTTTTTTTATTTTTATTTTTTATTTTTAGCAGGTAAATAGACGAGCTTACGTAAACGATACTGAAAAACGTTGTATATTAATATTTATAATTTTTAAATATTAACATTTTTTGAATAATCAATAACGTAAACGATTGTATATTATGTATATAATAGTAAATAAATAAATATGGATATAAATTTTATCTGGAGAAAGTACTTTTTAAAAACAATATATTGACTGGCTGAATCTCCTTAATTCGTTCGTCTTTTTTATTTTATTTATTTTTTTTATTAGGATTCTTGTTTTTTAAAACTATTTATTACTACAAACATTGCATGTACAGTAGATAAATACACTCCCCTCTCTGTATATATGCATATATATATATATATATATATATATATATATATATATATATATATATATATATAAATATATATATAAATAATGAAAGGAGACACAAAGTGCAGTGCATAGTTGACAAATGCTTCTTTGTTTGCAGAAATGTTATTATCAGCGCGTGTGTAAGGTCTTCCTTTAATTATAAACTTATGCCAATAATAAAATTAAATTGGTTAATTGCAGTGGGGCAGCTTGAGACAGACTAGTTACTTAAATTTGCCTTCGTAAATGAATTTACAGCAACCTGTTGAAATAACAGCTGATCCGTTGTCAGTTGAGCACGAGCACTGGGATTTGGGAGCTTGGCCAACGCGAGCAATGCAGAGTTATCGCTCGATTAAACAGAGTCTTTTTCGGGCTTTAATTATTTCGTGTCAACGTCATTGATGACTGATTTTAGCGGTAGAATTATAACTTTATGCTTATTTCAGTATGTTTGTGTTGAAAGAGCTCGCTTTTGCTCCCGGATACGGGGAATAAACGAGCGCACTTAGAGTAAGAAGGCGATTTTATGATTGGGATGGAAGGTCGGGTAATCTACGCGCTCGACTCAACTCAATGTTGATCCAGTGTGATTAGCCGTCTTACCTTGGATTTATATTATTTCCTACAATTGAGCTTTCGCCTTCACGATTCTCAAATTAATTTCAACATAGGCAAGCTGGTTTTTTTAGAGAGCTGGGTGGAAATGGAATTCTCGATTTGAATTTCATTGGTTAGGAATTCAAAATCTTCATCTCTATACCGGCCTCTCTCCCCCCTTCTCTCTCACCCACTCTCTCGCTCTCTCTCTCTCTCTCTCTCTCTCTCTCTCTCTCTCTCTCTCTCTCTCTCTCTCTCTCTCTCTCTCTCTCTATCTCTATCTCTATCTCTCTCTCTCGCTCTTTCTGTGCAAATTTCAATGAATCTTTTGCAGTTGTTTTGTGACATTGTATCGATCGCTTCATAGATTAGCTGTTTTTATATTTGTATTATTATGAATTGTGAATAAAGCAGAGATTATGAAGAGAAAATAGTTATAAGAGGTAAAGGAAGGTGAGGAAAATCGGCGTCGTCTTACTGATACTAAATTCTAATTGAAAAGAAGAGCAGATGGCGGGTTCATATCATAGCAAATACATAAATTACAGTTACACACGATTCGACAAATTTTATCTTATTGTGACTTAATTTTCCCGCCTACGTTAAACGTCATTAATATCAATAGATTATGTAAGTTTCAGAATTTGATTATGTATTTTTGCATGAAAATTTATTACTCTTTTTTATTAGTATAGACTTATGCCTACTTATGGCTTTTTAAATAATCTGTGATTAAGCTTTTATATTGAATTTACGTATATTATTTTAGAAATATTTGAATATATTAATGATTAAAGCTACAGAAACAGTAGATTAAAAGCTTTGTACGGTAGTAGTGGTTTTCTACAATTTTATACAAATTATTGAAAATTTAATTTTTATATAGTTTATTATTCAATTAGTAAATGAACAGAATGTTAAGATATTAAGAATAATGGTAGGTTCGGATAATATTTAAATAATATAGATTGTACGAGTTACTCTTGAGTTGCTAAGTTGTATGTATCAATATTTTCTCATAGTCATTCATTTTATAATTCATGATATTTTCAAGTAGTAAGAGCGATATTATACAAAGGAATTTTAGAAATTAGGTAAATTAGGTGAAAAAGATAGGTGAATAATATTATTAATTTATAATTATAAAATAGAAACTTGATCAATCCTAAATACTATATACAGTATTTAATTCTAGTACTAACCCTAATATAAAATTGATTAATACGAGTTACATATATTTATGTATATATATATATATATATATATATATATAAATTTTTGTTGTTATTGTAAACATATGTTTTTTTAAAGATGCTGATGAAAGTACTTTTACAAAAAGCGACTGCTAAAAGACAATTATCGAATATTTCAATTATTAAAGCATTTTGTGGATTTGCAACAATGTCTAAATTTGATTTACCCGAACGCTTGATTGGGAACGATAAGTCAGTATGGTAAGTATTTGAAATATTCAATGAATGTATATTTATGATTGAATGTTGATTCTGCGAGTACATATATATTTGTGATTAAAATATTTTTGTTCCAGGGTCGAATATATAGGATTAGCACTAAAGTATAAACCTTTAAATCTTGGACAAGGTTTTCCTGACTTTCATGCTCCGAACACTGTGAGAAATGCTTTAGCAAATGCAACGCTTGGTACAAATCCTTTATTGAATCAGTACACCAGAAGTTTTGTAAGTGATTTAATTTATTTACTTTTACCTTTCCTCAATTAATTTATCTTTTTGATGTCAAATTTATTTTCACATCCTCATTAAAGCATTTTCTCCCTATTTTAAAAATAAACAAATAAATATATATATATATATATATATATATATATATATATATACATAAATTCACATATATTTCTACATTCATACATTGATATACACCCATGCATACATACATATGTACATATATAAAACTTAATTAATTTTTATTTTCTAATTGATTAAATGGTATTTAAGTGTTTATTATGGTTATTAAATTCTTTAAGGGACATCCAAGATTAGTAAATGCTCTCGCTGCATTATATTCTAAGCTTTTAAGTCGAAACTTAGATGCAAACAAAGAAATTTTAGTTACATCTGGAGCATATGAAGCGCTATATGCTACAATTCAAGGTCACACATCTCCAGGGGATGAATGGATTATTATTGAACCTTTTTTTGATTGTTATGAACCTATGATAAGAATTTCAGGAGGAATTCCTAAATTCATTGCCTTAAGACCAGTAAATATTGTAGTTTTTAATTACTTTTAATAAAGTAGATCAAATAATATATTCTATATTATTATGATTTATTATTATATTTTCCTTTAAGGTAGGAAACTTTAAAATTGTACATAATGTTTTAGACAAAGGCTAGTGGGACAGTCACTTCTGCGGATTGGATATTTGATAAAAATGAAATGGCAAACTTATTTAATGAAAAAACAAAAGGTATAATTGTTAATACTCCACATAATCCAGTGGGAAAAGTTTTTACATTTGAAGAATTACAATTCATTGCTGATCTAGCAAAGAAATGGGATACTCTTGTAGTATCTGATGAAGTTTACGAATGGTTGGTTTATCAACCATATAAGCACATAAGAATTGGTAATTGATATTTATAGTATTTTGCATTGCGATTAGTAACCGTTTATTTGATCTGTCATTGGTTCCCTCTTAGCTACATTGCCTGAAATGTATGAGCGAACTATAACAATTGGCTCTGCGGGTAAAACATTTAGTGTAACCGGTTGGAAAATTGGGTGGGCTTACGGTCCAGAAAATCTGTTAAAAAATTTACAAGTTATTCATCAAAATTCAGTATATACATGTAATACACCAATTCAGGTAAAATTGAAATTTCTAATCATTTTATTATTTAAAATTAAAAATATTAAAAAGAATTTTTGTCTCTTAGGAAGCTATTGCCATAGGTTTTGAAGAAGAACTTAAGAAATTTGGACAGCCAGATTCCTACTTTACTAGTCTTGCAGAAGAATTACTACCAAAACGAGATTATATGGCAAAATTCCTGTCCGAAGTTGGTATGTTTCCAACCATACCCGAAGGTGGGTATTTTATGGTAGCTAACTGGACTGCATTAGAAAACAAAGTCAAACTCGATGAAGAAACAGATACTTACAAGGATTACAAATTTACCAAGTGGATGACTAAAAATGTTGGTTTGCAAGGTATTCCTCCATCTGCTTTTTACAGTAACGAGCATAAACATTTAGGAGAAGATTTTGTTCGTTACTGTTTTATTAAGGTATTTGTTATTTATTGTAATATTTTAAAATTAGTTTCTTTGTTCGTTAAAAGAAAATTTTTCTTAATAATTTCATTTGAATATGTTGTAGAATGATGAAAATTTAAAAGAAGCAGCAGACATATTGTTGAAATGGAAGAATCAACAATAATTCAGATAATAAAATCATCATGCTGTAAGATTTTTTATATAATTACAATTATAAATAAATCATAGATTATATATTTGTATGAGTACTTAGAGTTTTTAACACTTTATAAAATAAAAATTAATTATATACATAAATTTAAACGATAAGTTTAATAATTGTTTTATTTTTAAATATCAATTATAATTTCTTTAAGTTTATCAGTTATTTTTATATTTTTTAATCAATGAATTATTAAAAATTTATTTTCTTGTTGGTTTTCGATATTTATTTATTGAATTTTATAGTAAAAAGTTGATCTTGCATATAACGATATGCATCTTTTGAACAAAATCCATGAGTCTTACCAATTCTGTGAAGTGTACATTATATTTTACTTAAGTAAACTATTAAGAATAAGCTTAATCAGTCTTTGAGTAAATCATAAAATTTGTATTACTTGAATTTTGCTCCAGGTATGTGACCAGTATAACTTGGCATGAGTGCGGTATCTTTTTTAAAAATTCTATTGTTCTTAGGAAGCTTTTCTTTTTTATTTGAAAGTAGTACTGGAGCCCATTCAATTCTCTTTTTTTTTAAATAATTAGAAGTAAAGTCACGCAAACCATAATTCGTCATAACTTGATGAGATTTCCCATAATGAGTGGTGCGATGTGGTTTATATCCAGTGTATCCTAATTGATTTTTTATATTTATCTTAATCTTAAGTATAAGTATTAGAAAAATGTATTCAAATATAATTTTATTATATGTTTAATAAATATATAAAAGAATTGTTACAATTTTTAATAAAAGTTGAAAATGTTAAATTGCAAGTTTCCGTTATTAAAAGTTTTTAGCTTCTGATTTTAGTTTTAATATATTTAGATTATTAATACCACAAGAAAAATATTTAGGCTTAAGCTTAACAAGCATTTTATATAGATTCGTGTAGAAAGGATATTAAAATGTATTTTTAAAATGTAAATTCTTATGCGATAAAAATAATATTCGATAAATGTTTTTTACTTATTTATTTAATCATTCTACTCTCTTAAAATCTAAAATATTAAATATTTTTGTGTATGGAACAGCTTACCATGAATAAAATATTTTTGCGGATTAATATTTTCCATAAAATACGGAGATACATTATAGTCTTTAGGTCTCTCGTATCTTTCATCTATTAAATAATCTTCTGGTAAACCGATGTGTTCAGGACGAACAGCAATTAATGGTAATCTAAATTTGCTTTTGAGTAACTAAATGATAAAAAAGATAGAGATTTTATTTAATCTTTTAGCTATTTCATAATATTGTTATGAAATTACCAAGCGCTCTTCAATGTTTTTCGGATATGAAGTACCACTTTGTAATTCCACTGTTTTTTCTAAGCGTTCAATCGATGATTTTTTCTGTTGATATTGTTTTTCAAAATTTGCAATACCTTCGGTTGCTTGAATTTCATAAGGTTTATCCCGCTCATCACTTAAATTTGGTATAAAACCTAAAATAAATCTCAAATATATAAGAATTTTTAATTATGAATTTTATTTTTACAAACCGTCATATGTTGAAAGCATAGGATGCTTATAAATTGGATCCATTCTATTTGATCTGGAATTTACAACTTCAATATCATCCTTTGTTGGTTTCACTACCTTAATATTTAAGTTAAAAAAAATTATTATCTAATATTTAAATTTTTATTATAATCTTTTTATTAAATTCATATTTATTAATAATATATTAAGTATTTATTTCTGTAGTACACATACATATATGTATGTTTTTAAAATATTATTATTTCATATATATATATATATATGTATATGTACATTAATTGAAAGATAGTTAATTAAAAATTTTAAAAGGAAGGTATAATTTAGCTTATACCTCATGATCTTTTGATCTATCAACAAGAATAAGTTTCTTTGCATGATTTATTTTCGGGTCGCGTAACAGCTTATGACTGAGGTTACTATAATTTTCTCCACTTTTAAATCGATGTTGTGGACAGTATCCAGTATATCTGAAATATTTATTAATGCATTATAAAAAAAAAAAAAAAAAAAAAAACGCAGTAAAGATTAAAATAATATGTATGTTTTGATCATTCTGTTTAGATTATAATTTACCCAGGTATGTAATACGGCTCTTTTCTTTGAAGTACTTCGGTATTAACCATTTTGATTTTTAACTAATAATTTTGTTGCAACTAAATTTCTGTTATTTTATCTTTATATATTTTGAATAAAGTTAACCATCAATTTTAATTCATCGTACCGGTAAGCATAAGCAACTAATAACAAATGTGTTTGCGTGTGCGCGCGCGCGCGCTTGTATGTGTGCAAATAAAAACACAATCAGCGCAATAAGTAAAATTTAAATTTATAATAAAGTTCAAAAATCTAATTTAAATGTTCTATTTACGTATTAACGGGGCTTTTCAATCAATGTTTGTACTATTTCTCGTTAGATGGAGCTACCATACTTTTAACATTATATCCTTGGAAAAAAAAATTAAAAGAGAAAGCAACAAAACTATCGTTCTAGCGTTTTAAATGAAAAATTTAAAAAATTATCCTTAATTGAGTATGTTTATAATAAATTTATTACTTTAAAATTATCAATATTTTCAAATTAATAATTCAGTATAATAGCGGTAAACTATAGATGTAATTTCTTCATTTATCTTTTCCAGATAATTAAATTAATACCATCTGTTACTTAATGTATTAATAGTAAATCTATTAATACAACTATTGATTTAAAAATATTTTGAATAATTGAAAATAAGAATCAATATAAACTTATTTTTTCAAAGAATTAGGCGATTTCACTGTCTTTAACTACATGAATTTTATCGCTTTTAAATATCAATATTAAATCCAATTAATAGATTTGATTTTAGATCCTCAGAATATAACATGTTTTTTTTTTTTATAAACTTTATGGTGTGTAGTGGAAGCAATCACTTATTATTGCCAGGCCCAAAGAACTTTATAATCCGAAATTTATAACAAAAAACTAAATATGAATATTAAAAACTTTTCGTTGATAAAAAAAATAATGATCTTACGAAGTAGGAATTTTTTTTTTTTTTTTTTTTTTTTTTTTTTTTTTTATGAATGATAACATATGCAATTTTAAATTATTTCGAAAATACTTAATAAAGTGTAAATTGTATATATTTATTCTTTTTTAGAAAATTACTTTTTATAAACAATTCCTTTACAATCGTATGAATTAGTTCAAATTTATTCATGTTATGTTTTTGGTATTTTAACTCATTTTTTAATATTTCAAAGTGGTTTAATCCTATGATCTCATTAAATTTGTAATATTTTATCTAAGTATTGCGTGCACTATTGTCAATATTGTTATTTCTGTCGTTATTTTTGTCGTCATCGTCATCGTCATCATCATTATTCTAATGGCAATAATGTATTTGAAGACAATTAGAATATTTGAATATTTTATTCTTTGTAGAGAACAGAATATAATTTTATTTGAAAATTTTCGATAGTTATACAATAGTTATATTTGTTATGAGATATTTTAGAGTAGTAATGTCTACTCGATTCTTTGAGGATTGTTAATTGAATAAGTTGATTAATCGACATTGAGGTAAAGGGTTTGTTGATAAAAGTGTCTTGTTACTTCTATCGATTACAATTTGTTCTATGCGGAGTATTGTATTTTATCTTGAAGTATAAAGTAAGCCTTTGGCGTTGCCCTCGTAACAAGTATGCCAAGGTAGTAAGGGATGGGCAATGGATATACAGATTTCGAATGCGAATGGATTATATAAATTCATTAGTTGGAGTAGAGGTTCATATGTGTTGGAAATTATAAATTAAAAATTATCATATCACGCGTTTCCGATTTTAGCAAGGGAAAAGCACAGAAACTATTTTGTTGAAGTAAATTATTTTACTGCTACATTTGACTATCTATCGAATATATTAAATATGTAGAATTTCAAGAATATGTAATCTCTGTTTACATAAAAACTTATCTTAACAGATTTCAATTTGATAATGTTTTTTAAATTTAATGTTTAAAATTTAAAGTCTTAAGTATCTAATTTTTATGATTTAGTTTTAATTAAAATTTGCTTATCTTTCGCAATAGAAAACAGTAAATCAATGATTTGATCATTTCATTGATTTTTATATATTTTCATTATTACAGCAGGCTTTTATCTTGCGTATCACGGATGTGTCGGCAATGTTAGAAAGAGGTAATGATAGAGGAGAGAGAGAGAGAGAGAGAGAGAGAGAGAGAGAGAGAGAGTTATAGGAAAACAATGATATTTTATAGGACGATGAATGGAAATAGAGCAAAGGGAGGACCCATTTGGGCCCCTCAAGGGGGTAGACAGCCTTTCAATTACGGCCCCTAATGGTTGCCAAGACAAGCACTAACAGATAAAGAACCTTCAGGTTCTGAAACGTCGAGGTCGCCCTTACACTTTTGACCTCTTTGTATCAGAACTAACCGACTATCGACACAAGTTTCTCCTTCTCTCTCTCTCTCTCTCTCTCTCTTTCATTTTTTTCTTCCACCTCTTTTTCTTACTTATCTTTTTCTTCTCCTTTTTGATGGAAAACCGGGAAAGACGTCTGATTTTTCGTAGTTATCAGCAAAAAGGTTAATGTTTGGTTGTTTGTTTCGGGGGATTCAGTTCGCCTTTCCCCCTGCTCGGCTAACGTGAAGTGGCTTTTTCAGGATGACTATGAGGCACAATATTAGCACTCTATTTGCTCTTCTCAGGGTGACTGACTCGAGCTTTCGTTTCATGTTCTCAATGGCAAGTTTTTTTTAAAAAATTGTTGATTTTTTAAATGCCTCGATTGGGCTTTCAGTTTTTAAGTCCGTTATCTTCAATTTTCTAATTATAACTTAAATTGGCAAAGTTACTATGTTATACAAATGAAATTGTATCATGCGGGCGAAGAAGTACGGTTATTGGAATAGAATAGAAAACAAAATTTGAAACGAGTGAAAGATGTGAAAGATAAGTTGGTGAAGAATGACAGGCTTGAAAAGTTATTTGAGAATATTCATAATAATAATATTAATAATTTATTATTCACCACGACTTTACATAAAAATACGTTATAAATTATTATAAACTTAATTTTTATGTCATAAGCCGCAAATACAAATTTCTGCATGAACTATATTGAATTCGTGTTATTAAAAGAAATCGAAAAGGAAATGGCAGCTGTTATTACATTGTTAATGCAAAAGGTCACGTGTGCATGTTGGTAGGCCACGTAATATATACGACCCGAAGCTGCGTCACCGAGGAAAACAAAACAGTCTTCGCTGTAATTGAATACAAATTCTTCGTTATTGCAATGCTTTCATCCCTTATTTTGTAAAAGTGGCTTATAGTCCTGCACGTGCTTTCGGAAATTTATGCCAGCGGCTGTACTAATGACCATAAAAAACTATAGATACCATAGCATTTTCCAAATATGCATAATTATTTTCGACGTATTTAACATTGATTTTGGCCAATTTTCTAAAGAATCTTTTTTATCATATAAATTTTTCATGACTATTACATTTTGTTCTATAAAATTCTCCACGCAGATCTATTTGAATTTTTTAATTGTTTATTATCGAGGCTTTGTTTATTTACAGGTTTTGGTTCAAAAGACATGTATTAAGATTTGTAAATGAACGAATAATTTTTTATAATATTTAAGTTCACATGGTAGTTGAATAAATAGAAAAAACATAAACTATTTATACCTATTATATTTATTAATGCGAGCGAAAAAAAAAAAAAAAAAAAAAAAAAAAAAAAGAAGCATCGTTAAAGACACATAATAATTTCATAATCCATTATTATCGTTATTTCATAAACGATATTGTAGATAACTATTTATTTCTAGAGGAAAAATGGAAAACTTAATATTTCTCAACTTAATATGAGTTATAAGTATATGATGTCGACATTATTTATTTATTAAGTATCTATATAATATTATAGTCTTAAGGATATTGAAGTTTTCATTTATATCGATAATAATATTGGAATATCTAAAAATAATTGTTATACGCAGATTGTAATAAATTTTAATAGCAAAATAAATGAATATCGTTGTCTTATTTAATTACATATTTTGTTTATTTAAATTAAACTCTGATTTTCTTTCGTAAACAGTATAATTTTTGTTATTTAATTAGAGGGGCAATTTTAAGATAATTATTCTTATTAGAAATTACAATGAAATTAATATTTCATAAGCGATATTAAGTAAAATCAAAGCAAATTATATAAATTAAAATAACAAACTTGGTGTTTATATAGAACATAGAGTAGTAAGTAGTTGTAAACAAATAATTTTTCGATACATTAAGAAAATTAATGTGAAATTGCTCGATTCATCAATATCGATTTTCGACAAATACCTGACTTATTAAAAACCAACTATACTTATTGCGTAAACCCTGTAAACTTTCTTAATAAAAGCCAAGCTAAAATATTTCTTATAAATACAATCTGTAAATTTGAATATATCGAATATTTGCAAATATTTTAATTTATAATCACAATAATAATTCTAAATACTAACATAAATATTCTGAAAAATCGGTGTGAGTTTCTAAGAGAGAAAATATAATTTTTATTAGTAAAATAAGTAAACAATATTTTTAACGTATATTTTGGTTAATTTTATTTGTGAATTTCGTAATATCAGTAAGAATAATTTTCTAAATTATGAAAAGTTTCATAAATGACAGCATCATTGCAATAAGAAACATAATCGTCTTTTTACGATAATTTAGTAAAATTTATATTACGATGACTAGACAATATATTAAGTTTATACGTACAAATACCAGAATTTTTTCCATTCTTTTACAATAATGCTCGCTGTAATTAATATATTTATAATATTTCCTTGTAATTTATAGATAATACTGCGTGGAATAAATGATCGCCATACACTTGTAAATAGATTAATTATTTATTTATATAATTATAGAAATTAAAAAAAAAAAAAGAAAAATGTGCTCGTATTTAATACAAATGACGAGTATGTTATAAAAATCTTTTTGCGCATTGTTTTAAGGACAATTTATACAGCCGATCGGTAACTTGATACTTTTTTTAGTGCCGATTTTTAGATTTTATTAAACTTAGATTACTATGTAATTTACAAAATTCGGAAAATCGAATGATATTTAATTAATAATAAGTACGTATCAGTAAAAAATTACTTTG